TGGGTAGTGGGTACATGGTCCACTCACAGGATGGGTAGTGGGTACATGGTCCACTCACAGGATGGGTAGTGGGTACATGGTTCACTCACAGGATGGGTAGTGGGTACATGGTCCACTCACAGGATGGGTAGTGGGTACATGGTCCACTCACAGGATGGGTAGTGGGTACATGGTCCACTCACAGGATGGGTAGTGGGTACATGGTCCACTCACAGGATGGGTAGTGGGTACATGGTCCACTCACAGGATGGGTAGTGGGTACATGGTCCACTCACAGGATGGGTAGTGGGTACATGGTCCACTCACAGGATGGGTAGTGGGTACATGGTCCACTCACAGGATGGGTAGTGGGTACATGGTCCACTCACAGGATGGGTAGTGGGTACATGGTCCACTCACAGGATGGGTAGTGGGTACATGGTCCACTCACAGGATGGGTAGTGGGTACATGGTTCACTCACAGGATGGGTAGTGGGTACATGGTCCACTCACAGGATGGGTAGTGGGTACATGGTTCACTCACAGGATGGGTAGTGGGTACATGGTCCACTCACAGGATGGGTAGTGGGTACATGGTCCACTCACAGGATGGGTAGTGGGTACATGGTTCACTCACAGGATGGGTAGTGGGTACATGGTCCACTCACAGGATGGGTAGTGGGTACATGGTCCACTCACAGGATGGGTAGTGGGTACATGGTCCACTCACAGGATGGGTAGTGGGTACATGGTCCACTCACAGGATGGGTAGTGGGTACATGGTCCACTCACAGGATGGGTAGTGGGTACATGGTCCACTCACAGGATGGGTAGTGGGTACATGGTCCACTCACAGGATGGGTAGTGGGTACATGGTCCACTCACAGGATGGGTAGTGGGTACATGGTTCACTCACAGGATGGGTAGTGGGTACATGGTCCACTCACGGGATGGGTAGTGGGTACATGGTCCACTCACAGGATGGGTAGTGGGTACATGGTCCACTCACAGGATGGGTAGTGGGTACATGGTCCACTCACAGGATGGGTAGTGGGTACATGGTTCACTCACAGGATGGGTAGTGGGTACATGGTCCACTCACAGGATGGGTAGTGGGTACATGGTCCACTCACAGGATGGGTAGTGGGTACATTGTCCACTCACAGGATGGGTAGTGGGTACATGGTTCACTCACTCACAGGATGGGTAGTGGGTACATGGTCCACTCACAGGATGGGTAGTGGGTACATGGTCCACTCACAAGATGGGTAGTGGGTACATGGTCCACTCACAGGATGGGTAGTGGGTACATGGTCCACTCACAGGATGGGTAGTGGGTACATGGTCCACTCACAAGATGGGTAGTGGGTACATGGTCCACTCACTCACAGGATGGGTAGTGGGTACATGGTCCACTTGCAGGATGGGTAGTGGGTACATGGTCCACTCACAGGATGGGTAGTGGGTACATGGTTCACTCACAGGATGGGTAGTGGGTACATGGTCCACTCACAGGATGAGTAGTGGGTACATGGTCCACTCACAGGATGGGTAATGGGTACATGGTCCACTCACAAGATGGGTAATGGGTACATGGTCCACTCACAGGATGGGTAGTGGGTACATGGTCCACTCACAGGATGGGTAATGGGTACATGGTCCACTCACAGGATGGGTAGTGGGTACATGGTCCACTCACAAGATGGGTTATGGGTACATGGTCCACTCACAAGATGGGTAATGGGTACATGGTCCACTCACAGGATGAGTAGTGGGTACATGGTCCACTCACAGGATGGGTAATGGGTACATGGTCCACTCACAAGTTGGGTAATGGGTACATGGTCCACTCGCAGGATGGGTAGTGGGTACATGGTCCACTCACAGGATGGGTAATGGGTACATGGTCCACTCACAGGATGGGTAGTGGGTACATGGTCCACTCACAAGATGGGTAATGGGTACATGGTCCACTCACAGGATGGGTAGTGGGTACATGGTCCACTCACAAGATGGGTAGTGGGTACATGGTCCACTCACAGGATGGGTAGTGGGTACATGGTCCACTCACAGGATGAGTAGTGGGTACATGGTCCACTCACAGGATGGGTAGTGGGTACATGGTCCACTCACAGGATGGGTAGTGGGTTCATGGTCCACTCACAGGATGGGTAGTGGGTACATGGTCCACTCACAAGATGGGTAATGGGTACATGGTCCACTCACAGGATGGGTAGTGGGTACATGGTCCACTCACAGGATGGTTAGTGGGTATATGGTCCACTCACAAGATGGGTAGTTGGTACATGGTCCACTCACAGGATGGGTAGTGGGTACATGGTCCACTCACAGGATGGGTAGTGGGTACATGGTCCACTCACAGGATGGGTAATGGGTACATGGTCCACTCACAAGATGGGTAATGGGTACATGGTCCACTCACTGGATGGGTAGTGGGTACATGGTCCACTCACAGGATGGGTAATGGGTACATGGCCCACTCACAGGATGGGTAGTGGGTACATGGTCCACTCACAGGATGGGTAGTGGGTACATGGTCCATTCACTCACAGGATGGGTAATGGGTACATGGTCCACTCACAAGATGGGTAGTGGGTACATGGTCCACTCACAGGATGGGTAGTGGGTACATGGTCCACTCACAAGATGGGTAGTGGGTACATGGTCCACTCACAAGATGGGTAGTGGGTACATGGTCCACTCACAGGATGGGTAGTGGGTACATGGTCCACTCACATGATGGGTAATGGGTACATGGTCCACTCACAGAATGGGTAGTGGGTACATGGTCCATTCACTCACAGGATGGGTAATGGGTACATGGTCCACTCACAAGATGGGTAGTGGGTACATGGTCCACTCACAGGATGGGTAGTGGGTACATGGTCCATTCACTCACAGGATGGGTAGTGGGTTCATGGTCCACTCACAGGATGGGTAATGGGTACATGGTCCACTCACAGGATGAGTAGTGGGTTCATGGTCCACTCACAGGATGGGTAATGGGTACATGGTCCACTCACAGGATGGGTAGTTGGTACATGGTCCATTCACTCACAGGATGGGTAGTGGGTACATGGTCCACTCACGGGATGGGTAATGGGTACATGGTCCACTCACAGGATGGGTAGTGGGTACATGGTCCACTCACAGGATGGGTAATGGGTACATGGTCCACTCACAGGATGGGTAATGGGTACATGGTCCACTCACAAGATGGGTAATGGGTACATGGTCCACTCACAGGATGGGTAGTGGGTACATGGTCCACTCACAGGATGGGTAATGGGTACATGGTCCACTCACAGGATGGGTAGTGGGTACATGGTCCACTCACAGGATGGGTAATGGGTACATGGTCCACTCACAGGATGGGTAATGGGTACATGGTCCACTCACAAGATGGGTAATGGGTACATGGTCCACTCACAGGATGGGTAGTGGGTACATGGTCCACTCACAGGATGGGTAATGGGTACATGGTCCACTCACAGGATGGGTAGTGGGTACATGGTCCACTCACAAGATGGGTAATGGGTACATGGTCTACTCACAAGATGGGTAATGGGTACATGGTCCACTCACAAGATGGGTAGTGGGTACATGGTCCACTCACAGGATGGGTAGTGGGTACATGGTCCACTCAGAGGATGGGTAGTGGGTACATGGTCCACTCACAGGATGGGTAGTGGGTACATGGTCCACTCACAGGATGGGTATTGGGTACATGGTCCACTCACAGGATGGGTAGTGGGTACATGGTCCACTCACAGGATGGGTAATGGGTACATGGTCCACTCACAGGATGGGTAGTGGGTACATGGTCCACTCACAGGATGGGTAATGGGTACATGGTCCACTCACAGGATGGGTAATGGGTACATGGTCTCCACTGTATAATCTCTCATATACACACATACAATAAGGTAGCAGCACAATGCTCTGTGTTTTTTGTTATTAAAAAATTTCTGATATGAAAACGAAACTATAAAATATGAACGATATAGGAATATGTTCACCTTGCAGTAAATAGGTACCAGGGAGTTAGACAGCTGCTACGGGCAGCTTCTCATGGGTGTGACGACATAGAGGCCTCGGGGACGCTGAGCTACGAAGTCATCTCAAGATAACCTCAAGATAGGCCTACGAAAAGGTTGTAAATTAGGTATTCTCAGCCTGTTATTGGGAGAGGGAGAGGCAGGAAATTAGAGATATGAAGCGCTTTTTATAACCTTCGACAAGCCGCAGACATCCGGTCGCCGTTGAGCCTACTAGAGAGACAGCGGCCCCTCAGGTAAATTCAGGTAAAGACGTATGCTTATACATCGTATCAGTTAAGGTAGTTGCATATGACTATTTTTCACTCTATTTACGTATCAAATTATATTAAATTTCGTATATTCTAGAATTGAGACTATCTATAGATAGACATTATAGCAATATCAGATGGACGGTAGGAGTAGTAATTAGTTTAATAATAAAAATATATATATATATATATATATATATAAGTTGTCGTTCTGACAAGCAGTGTGTGGCCATCTGGCGGCTCCTGGCAACTCACCCGAGCTTGCCATCGTCCCGTGTTAGTTATATAATATATCTTTATTGCTCGTCCGGCCGTATATATCCCTTGAAATGTATTTGATAGATAGAACGACTTAGATGTATACTTAATAGAAAAAACTAATTAGCAAATCACCTTCAATCTTTGGTCAGTTTTTAAAAGATGATTATTTTGAATAGGTATTAACGACCAGTTTAACAGGACAGATATGTTTTTTCTCCCAGTGTATATAAGAAAGGGCTTCAAACTACATATGTCATTCCTATTGTATGTATTACAAGCTACAACAGGTTATGTTAATAAAATATTAAGCTCCAGAACTATTTCAATACCATAAGTAAAGCGCACACAAAATGAGATATTAGTATTTAGTTCAATTTTATGACGTACTAGGAAAAAATTATGTTCCAAGGTCACGAGACCAGCAGCGTCCAGGGAAGGAGCAGCCAGTGTCTCTGTGACGGTCGTCGGAGGTGGAGGTCTACCGCTCGCTCTCCTGGATTAATAACTGAAAACCTTCCCTGTCTACCGTACGTACACCGCCACCTGGGTGGCCTCTCGCCGGAGTGACGCCTTCATGATGCATGTGTCTTAATGTTGCTCCCAGCCTCGGTAGTGTGCAGGCTGAGTGGCCTAGGAGACTTGTGCCTCCACCCGCTACCTTGTGTGTGATTGTACACCAGGCGGCTACCTTGTGTGTGTGATTGTACACCAGGCGGCTACCTTGTGTGTGATTGTACACCAGGCGGCTACCTTGTGTGTGTGATTGTACACCAGGCGGCTACCTTGTGTGTGATTGTACACCAGGCGGCTACCTTGTGTGTGTGATTGTACACCAGGCGGCTACCTTGTGTGTGATTGTACACCAGGCGGCTACCTTGTGTGTGTGTGATTGTACACCAGGCGGCTACCTTGTGTGTGATTGTACACCAGGCGGCTACCTTGTGTGTGTGTGATTGTACACCAGGCGGCTTCCTTGTGTGTGATTGTACACCAGGCGGCTACCTTGTGTGTGATTGTACACCACGCGGCTTCCTTGTGTGATTGTACACCAGGCTGCCTTGTGTGTGATTGTACACCAGGCTACCTTGTGTGTGATTGTACACCAGGCGGCTTCCTTGTGTGTGTGATTGTACACCAGGCGGCTACCTTGTGTGTGATTGTACACCACGCGGCTACCTTGTGTGTGATTGTACACCAGGCGGCTTCCTTGTGTGTGATTGTACACCAGGCGGCTACCTTGTGTGTGTGATTGTACACCAGGCGGCTTCCTTGTGTGATTGTACACCAGGCGGCTACCTTGTGTGTGTGATTGTACACCAGGCTGCTTCCTTGTGTGATTGTACACCAGGCTACCTTGTGTGTGATTGTACACCAGGCGGCTTCCTTGTGTGTGATTGTACACCAGGTGGCTTCCTTGTGTGTGATTGTACACCAGGCGGCTACCTTGTGTGTGATTGTACACCAGGCTACCTTGTGTGTGATTGTACACTAGGCGGCTTCCTTGTGTGTGATTGTACACCAGGCGGCTTCCTTGTGTGTGATTGTACACCAGGCGGCTTCCTTGTGTGTGATTGTACACCAGGCGGCTACCTTGTGTGTGTGATTGTACACCAGGCGGCTACCTTGTGTGTGATTGTACACCAGGCGGCTACCTTGTGTGTGATTGTACACCAGGCGGCTTCCTTGTGTGTGATTGTACACCAGGCGGCTTCCTTGTGTGTGATTGTACACCAGGCGGCTTCCTTGTGTGTGATTGTACACCAGGCGGCTTCCTTGTGTGTGATTGTACACCAGGCGGCTTCCTTGTGTGTGATTGTACACCAGGCGGCTTCCTTGTGTGTGATTGTACACCAGGCGGCTTCCTTGTGTGTGATTGTACACCAGGCGGCTACCTTGTGTGTGATTGTACACCAGGCGGCTACCTTGTGTGTGATTGTACACCAGGCGGCTACCTTGTGTGTGATTGTACACCAGGCGGCTACCTTGTGTGTGATTGTACACCAGGCGGCTACCTTGTGTGTGATTGTACACCAGGCGGCTACCTTGTGTGTGATTGTACACCAGGCTACCTTGTGTGTGGCTAGGCCTTGTGTGTGATTGTACACCAGGCGGCTACCTTGTGTGTGATTGTACACCAGGCGGCTTGTGTGTGATTGTACACCAGGCGGCTACCTTGTGTGTGATTGTACACCAGGCGGCTACCTTGTGTGTGATTGTACACCAGGCGGCTACCTTGTGTGTGATTGTACACCAGGCGGCTACCTTGTGTGTGATTGTACACCAGGCGGCTACCTTGTGTGTGATTGTACACCAGGCGGCTACCTTGTGTGTGATTGTACACCAGGCGGCTACCTTGTGTGTGATTGTACACCAGGCGGCTACCTTGTGTGTGATTGTACACCAGGCGGCTACCTTGTGTGTGATTGTACACCAGGCGGCTACCTTGTGTGTGATTGTACACCAGGCGGCTACCTTGTGTGTGATTGTACACCAGGCGGCTACCTTGTGTGTGATTGTACACCAGGCGGCTACCTTGTGTGTGATTGTACACCAGGCGGCTACCTTGTGTGTGTGATTGTACACCAGGCGGCTACCTTGTGTGTGATTGTACACCAGGCGGCTACCTTGTGTGTGATTGTACACCAGGCGGCTACCTTGTGTGTGATTGTACACCAGGCGGCTACCTTGTGTGTGATTGTACACCAGGCGGCTACCTTGTGTGTGATTGTACACCAGGCTACCTTGTGTGTGATTGTACACCAGGCGGCTACCTTGTGTGTGATTGTACACCAGGCGGCTTCCTTGTGTGTGATTGTACACCAGGCGGCTTCCTTGTGTGTGATTGTACACCAGGCGGCTACCTTGTGTGTGATTGTACACCAGGCGGCTACCTTGTGTGTGATTGTACACCAGGCGGCTTCCTTGTGTGTGATTGTACACCAGGCGGCTTCCTTGTGTGTGATTGTACACCAGGCGGCGGCTACCTTGTGTGTGATTGTACACCAGGCGGCTACCTTGTGTGTGATTGTACACCAGGCGGCACCACCTTGTGTGTGATTGTACACCAGGCGGCTTCCTTGTGTGTGATTGTACACCAGGCGGCTTCCTTGTGTGTGATTGTACACCAGGCGGCTTGTGTGTGATTGTACACCAGGCGGCTCCTTGTGTGTGATTGTACACCAGGCGGCTACCTTGTGTGTGATTGTACACCAGGCGGCTTCCTACACCACCTTGTGTGTGATTGTACACCAGGCGGCTTACACCAGGCGGCTTGTGTGTGATTGTACACCAGGCGGCTTCCTTGTGTGTGATTGTACACCAGGCGGCTTCACTGTGTGTGTGATTGTACACCAGGCGGCTACCTTGTGTGTGATTGTACACCAGGCGGCTACCTTGTGTGTGATTGTACACCAGGCGGCTACCTTGTGTGTGATTGTACACCAGGCGGCTACCTTGTGTGTGATTGTACACCAGGCGGCTGTACACCAGGCGGCCTTGTGTGTGATTGTACACCAGGCGGCTTCCTTGTGTGTGATTGTACACCAGGCGGCTTCCTTGTGTGTGATTGTACACCAGGCGGCTACCTTGTGTGTGATTGTACACCAGGCGGCTACCTTGTGTGTGATTGTACACCAGGCGGCTACCTTGTGTGTGATTGTACACCAGGCGGCTACCTTGTGTGTGATTGTACACCAGGCGGCTACCTTGTGTGTGATTGTACACCAGGCGGCTACCTTGTGTGTGATTGTACACCAGGCGGCTACCTTGTGTGTGATTGTACACCAGGCGGCTACCTTGTGTGTGATTGTAGATTGTGTAAGGGGGGGGCGTGTGTGATTGTGTAAGGCGGGGGGGCGTGTGTTGTTGTGTAAGGGGGCTACCTTGCGTGTGTACACCAGGCGGCTACCTTGTGTGGTTGTGTAAGGGGGGTGTGGATTGCGTGTGTGTGGTTGTGTAAGGGGGGGGCGTGTGTTGGTTGTGTAAGGGGGGCGGTGTGTGTGGTTGTGTAAGGCGGGGGGGGATTGTGTTGGTGTGTGTAAGGGGGGGGCGTGTGTTGGTTGTGTAAGGGGGGGGGGCGTGTGTTGGTTGTGTAAGGGGGGGGGCGTGTGTTGGTTGTGTAAGGGGGGGCGTGTGTTGGTTGTGTAAGGGGGGGGGCGTGTGTTGGTTGTGTAAGGGGGGGGCGTGTGTTGGTTGTGTAAGGGGGGGGGTGTGTGTGGTTGTGTAAGGGGGGGGGTTGTGTGTGTGGTTGTGTAAGGGGGGGGCGTGTGTTGGTTGTGTAAGGGGGGGGGGCGTGTGTTGGTTGTGTAAGGGGGGGGCGTGTGTTGGTTGTGTAAGGGGGGGGCGTGTTGGTTGTGTAAGGGGGGTGTGTGTGGTTGTGTAAGGGAGGGGCGTGTGTTGGTTGTGTAAGGGGGGGGGCGTGTGTTGGTTGTGTAAGGGGGGGGGCGTGTGTTGGTTGTGTAAGGGGGGGCGTGTGTTGGTTGTGTAAGGGGGGGCGTGTGTTGGTTGTGTAAGTGGGGGGCGTGGGGGGGGGCGTGTGTTGGTTGTGTAAGGGGGGGGGCGTGTGTTGGTTGTGTAAGGGGGGGGGGGCGTGTGTTGGTTGTGTAAGGGGGGGGGCGTGTGTTGGTTGTGTAAGGGGAGGGGCGTGTGTTGGTTGTGTAAGGGGGGGGCGTGTGTTGGTTGTGTAAGGGGGAGGGGCGTGTGTTGGTGTGTAAGGGGGAGGGGTGTGTTGGTTGTGTAAGGGGGGGGGCGTGTGTTGGTTGTGTAAGGGGGGGGGCGTGTGTTGGTTGTGTAAGGGGGGGGGGCGTGTGTTGGTTGTGTAAGGGGGAGGGGCGTGTGTTGGTTGTGTAAGGGGGGGGGGCGTGTGTTGGTTGTGTAAGGGGGGGGGCGTGTGTTGGTTGTGTAAGGGGGGGGGGCGTGTGTTGGTTGTGTAAGGGGGAGGGGCGTGTGTTGGTTGTGTAAGGGGGGGGGCGTGTGTTGGTTGTGTAAGGGGGGGGGTTGTGTGTTGGTTGTGTAAGGGGGAGGGGCGTGTGTTGGTTGTGTAAGGGGGGGGGCGTGTGTTGGTTGTGTAAGGGGGGGGCGTGTGTTGGTTGTGTAAGGGGGGGGGTTGGTGTGTTGGTTGTGTAAGGGGGGGGGCGTGTTGGTTGTGTAAGGGGGGGGGTTTGTGTAAGGGGGGGGTGGTTGGTGTGTTGGTTGTGTAGGGGGGGGGGGCGTGTGTTGGTTGTGTAAGGGGGAGGGGCGTGTGTTGGTTGTGTAAGGGGGGGGGAGGGGCGTGTGTTGGTTGTGTAAGGGGGGGGCGTGTGTTGGTTGTGTAAGGGGGAGGGGCGTGTGTTGGTTGTGTAAGGGGGGGGGCGTGTGTTGGTTGTGTAAGGGGGGGGGCGTGTGTTGGTTGTGTAAGGGGGGGGGCGTGTGTTGGTTGTGTAAGGGGGAGGGGCGTGTGTTGGTTGTGTAAGGGGGGGGGGGCGTGTGTTGGTTGTGTAAGGGGGGGGCGTGTGTTGGTTGTGTAAGGGGGGTTGGGGGGGGTGTAAGG